GTTTACTAGGAGCAGTAAAGCTGGTTATTAAATTCCTTTTTAAAAGGTTACTAGAGATTTTCAGCAACAAGAACCTACATGGTAGATGGTGACTACATTACATTAAGATTTTTCTTTGAACCAGCATCCAAAATGCCCCCTTGACATCCTTGTTTCTCAGGCTGTAGATCAGAGGGTTGAGCATGGGAGTCAGAGCCCCATATGCTAAGGATATGACCTTGGCCTTTTCAGAAACAGATTTCCCTTCGGGTCTCAAGTACATGATCATGATTGTTCCGTAAAAGACACTGACCACAGCAAGGTGAGAACTACAGGTGGAGAAGGCTTTTCTGCGTCCCTGGGTGGAGCTTATACATCGTATAGCCAGGCCTATGCGGATGTATGTCACCACTATGAAGCCAAAGGGAGGGAATAGAAGAAAGAGGCTGGAGATATGCATAAAGAGCTCACTGACTGTGTTGGAACAAGCCAGTTTGAGTAAGGATTGAAGCTCACATGCAAAATGGTTGATGATGCGATGGCCACAGAAATCAGTGGGCTGCAAGAGCACGTTGATCAGTGTCGTCATGAAGGCAATGGCCACTGACATGGCTACTAGATAAAAGCATAATTTCCAACTCATGATCTGCGTGTAGTATAATGGCTGACATACAGCTGCCAAGCGATCATATGCCATGACTGCCAAAACAATACACTCTGCTACAACCAGAAATAAGCCAATGTACATTTGGACCAAACATCTGGAGAAAGAAATTGTGGGTCTGTAGATGAAGCAGTTCACCAGGATCTCAGGAAGTGCATTGTTGGTAAGAATAAAGTCTACGGTGGAAAGGACACAAATGAAGAAATACATGGGGGTGTGAAGCCGGGGGTCAGCAATGCTCAACATGATGATGAGTCCATTGCCAAGAAAGCTTATGAGATACACTATCAAGAGGAACCAAAAGAGAACAATCTGAGCTCTGGGATGTTCTGATAATCCAATCAGAATAAATTCAGTCACCAGTGATTTATTTGAAGTTCCTACTATATTTTCTCTCATTCTCCCCTGCAGGAAAGAAAGAATGGTGTGATTACTGACTACATTCAGGAGAGATGCAATACCTTCACTTTAAATGTTTAGGCTGCCAAAGCTATATAGAAAAAATAAAAATGTATCTGTTTGAAAACTGTTTGCACATCATGCTTAGACAGAATTTATTTTAACCATGATTTATTGAATACAATTGTTGGATTCTCACATGCGTGGGTTCACACACTGCATTAAGGAGTATATTGTTTGCAAACTGCAGTGACTGCATAAAATGCTAAGCCAAAACTAAATAAGCTACATTCTCTCTCATAGCAAGATATTCAAATCCACTCCCAGATTGAAGATGGAGAAATCTCTTTCCAAAAGTAATGAAAGCAGCAAGCTGAAAGCAGTAGCTTCATCCCCATCCTGGTTACTGAAACCAAACAAAAATGTCCTGAGTCAACTCATTACAAGCAATGCTGTAGTACTCAGATAATTTACAAAGTAGAATCAGCGCTGATTGCAAGGACACCATCCTTTCCTCTTTGGATCTGACAGAGCCCAAAAAGGCTTTGTACATTGTAAGCAAGGTACATTGTAAGCAAGTACAATTTGTTGCAGGGCACAGTGTTGTTACTAAACCTGAGGCATCTCTATTAAGATATCAGCCTTAGCTTCATTTTCCTTTGCTTTATTATGTTATAAGCAGTGCACTGATATTTTTTCTAATGATAATACTTTGGAATTATTGTTAGTTAAATGATGATCAGAATTTCACTTAATGACACCAGTTAATTCTTTGGGAGGGTGCAAATATTGGAGAAAATTTATGTTTCTACTCAGAATAGAAAATAGGCTGATACTTTTATTAGGAAAAACTAACCACATACTAGGTAATCCATTCTCAAACTGTCCAGGACACTTGTTTGTGCTGTACTAGAATCCAAAGGAGAGATTATAAAGCAAATTCTTGGCCTCTTCCCCAGGCTGTAATTTACCATAAAAGTGGAGATTGAGAATGGAGGTTGGTTAGAGACTAAATCTCACAAAAAGAAAAACATTCTTGGAATAAAAGATAAAGAGAGAAGAGAGAGAAGAGATACTAGCAACAAGTCCAGCCTTATCGAAACGATAAGCATTAGAATAACCAGAAGACAATAGAATTTATTTCAGCCACAGTTCCATTCTCATTCTTTTTTCTTTTTTTTTTCTTTCCTTTTTTTTGCATCAGCTTTCTGTTTAATTGAAATTTACGTCTACTTCCTTTTTCTGTCCCTCCTTTTTGAATTAGCTTTTATTCAGATGGATATTTTAAAGATCATTCGCCCTATTTCTGTCTCAGATTCTTTATTCACATTTAGTAGCAAATAGAAGATAGTCCTGCTTTGTCTATAGATACATGCACACACAAATATAGATACACAAACACTCCCCCCCAACACATATGATAAAGTTTGGCATCTGCACGTTGTGCTCATTTTATAGCAACTGCCTATGATTGCCAACAGGGAAAGCTGCTTCTAAAGACATGGCTTCAAAGTATCCTGTCTGGATCAAGGTCTCCATGAATTCAAGATTTCTTTTACAGATACAAACAGAGAACAGCTACCTACTTAAATTGCCTTCTGTATTTGTCTTTTTAATTCTAAAGTTTTGCTTACCCAGTGTTCTTCCAGTGATAAATGGCCAAAGATTTTTTTCATGTCTTGCAAAGTAATTGTGAAGAGCAAAGTTGGGAAAAATGGCACTATTTGCTTTCCAAGAAACTGGGGATTTGATGAAGTTTAGTTCTAGCATCATCCATTCATACGATCTTTGCTAAAGGTAGTGTTCCTCATTGTGGCTGGTTTCACTCCTGAGTTACCGCTTGAGAAGAACAACAACCACTTGAAGTGGGGGGGGGGGAATTAGCAGAAGGAGAATGTGTGAGATCTGTTCTTTGCTTTGGCGTTGAGAACAACACTGCCAGTTCCTTGAGGTAAAAGGGGTTTTTTTTCATTCTCATCTTTTCCCCAGTGGGTAATAAATGGCATTTCTGCTGGAAGAAGGCCCAGATAAAATTCCAACGACAGATTTTTAATTGAATTTCAAGGGAATTTCTTGCCCATTAGGTTTAAAGTCGAAAAAAGAAATTATTTCATTATTTAAGTTCAACTGTGCCATTCTTTTCTAGACAGACTGCTTTACAACAAAATCAGTTTTTTAGCTTCTCAGAAATTTATAGCATGAAATGGCTGTGGAAGCCAGTGCTCTGATGTCCTTCACAACCAAAAGAGAACCCAGAGGTGGGAGAATAGTTTAATGACCACATAGAAGGGGGCGGTCCCACAGGAACCTGGCCGAACCAATGGGAGACCCACCTTTGCTGACATGGAACCCTTCATTTCAGACCCACTCCCTTATTCACATCAGTTTTCTCTTTGTAGAGTCTGAAGGTGGGATGAGATGAGAGAAAACAGTCCAGAACAGACTGCTTAAAGCTATCCTCAGGGTGCCTCAGCTGCAGATAGATGATGAGGTACAAGTAGTAGTGACATGTGGATATGTTCATTGGAGGTGGCTAATGGGCCATTGTCACTCAAGGGCAAGGAGTACTCTGGATTTGTCATAGGAGGTATACAAATAATGTTAAATCCTTCAAAACATTACTACTTTATAAATTTTAAATTACCTTTTTCTCCTTGTCTCACTTTTCCTCCCTTTCCTTCTACTCTCAGGCTTTCCTAAATGAGAATGATTATAGATCTTCATTCTAACCTGGATTCCCACCAAGGCAGAGAACCAAAGCAGCTTGGAGACCATCCTGGACGGTCTCTTTTTTCATTTCTTTTTATTCTGAATGGCTCAGAGTAAACCATCCCAATATAGCTGTTTTGCCACGTTCCCCTCCCATTCCAGAAGGAAGTCATGTTGCCCTAAATCTTGTTGCCCTTCAGTGTCCTGACCACTTGCTTGGAACAGGTGTATGATGTGCTGCTGACCATATAGTTTTAATGTGCAATATTCTGAGGTTGAGATTGGGGGTCCTCAGGCTAAAATCCTAGACTCACCCAACACAATCCATTATCCAAGCCTCCTCGGAGCCTTCTGAACAGTTGCTTCCAATTCGAAATCTCAAATTTGGAATTTGGTTATTTGTGAGCAATGTTCTGATCAATTTTAAAAGGCAGCCACTACAAAGACAGAGGAATAGTGCAGCACTAAGCAGTTCAGAGGTAGACATATTTTGTTACTTTTTGAACGATTGAAAGAAGAAATGAAATATGTTCTCCTGCCATTCAAGTTCTACAATATCTTTCAGTTGCAGGGCAGGAGTAAAGAGCAAAGGTCTGAATGAGGAGGACCAGGCTTCAACTCAACCCTGGAAAGACAGAGTGACTTTGGGTTCTTGGCCACCCAGACTCAGATGATATTCCATCCTTGACTTTGGAGAGTGTGATAGCTCCCTAGACTGAGCTGGTGTGCAATTTGGGTCCTTCTGAACCCACAGCTCCTGCTCAAGAACAGGTGGCAGCCATGGCTAGGGATGGGGGTGAGACTTTGCACAAATTTATCTAATATGCCAATTACATCCCTTCCTGGATGTACATCCCTTCCTGAACACATTGCAAAGTCTTTCTCACGGTAATTCATGCCTTGGTCACCTCCCCTTCAGATTACTGCAATGTGTTCCACATGGGGCTGTCCTTGAAGACCACTCAGAAGCTTCAATTGATCCAGAATTTACTTACTTACTTACTTACTTACTTACTTACTTACTTACTTACTTACTTACTTACTTTATTTATTTATTTATTTATTTATTTATTTATTTATTTATTTATTTATTTATTTATTTATTTATCAATAAATTGATATGCCACCTATCTTGCCTAGTGGCAAGTCTAAGTGGCCTACAGACATAAAAATGAAATAAATCCTTGAAACTTTAAAACAATATTAACACTAAAATTGGTTTGAAATTGACAAGATGATAAGGATCAAGTTGCATGCAGGGAGCAGGTGGGATCTTATTTTAGTCCATTAACCACCTCCAGGAAGATATGCTCCACTTGATTGTCAGAGCGAGGTCTTCAGGCCCTTTCAGAAGGCCAAAAGAGTGAGTGCGGATCTCACCTCAGGGCCACAATATTCCAGAAAATGAGAGCCACTGCCAAAAAGGCTTTTCTCCTGGAGCCCACCTCCTGGGATTTATTGACTGATGGGGTCCACAGCATGTCCCTTCTGCCAGTGAAGTTGTAAGCGGGCCGATCCCCTTGTGATGAGCAGTTCCTCAGGTAACTTGGTTACATGCCATGAAGGGCTTTAAGGTGATAACCAACATCTTGAATTGGATCTGGAAGCAAACTGGGCAACCAGTGCAGCCCGCAGAACAGTGGTGTAACATGGGCCACCTAGGGGACCCAGAAACTACCAGCTATAGTTTCCAAATACTCTTCAAAGAAGACCGTGTTACAATAGACCAAGCATGAGATGACCAGGGCTTGACTGACTGAGTGCAGGGACTCCTGATCCAGGAAAGGACACAACTGGCATGCAGCATGTGGTTGTGCAAAGGGTCCCCTAGCCATGACTGCCACCTGTTCTTTGAGCAGGAATCACAAGTCCAGCTGGGGCAGTATAACCCAATCTAGACCTAAAGATGCTAAAGTCCCTGGTCCCAAATCTCCACACATTCAAAGCCATTTGATTTTACCAGGGTTCAGTCAAAGCCTGCTGTCCCCCATCCAAGCTGTGTTGGACCAGTATAACCCTGGCCAGAGCATATATTAGCTTGAGATCTGTATGTTAGAATGTTTAGCATTTAAAGGGTTAGGCCAGGGGTAGGCAACCCAAAACACTCAAAGAGCCACTTGGACACGTTTCCCACCGAAAACAAAACACTGGGAGCCGCAAAACCCTTTTGATATCTAAAATAAAGATAACACTGCATATATCCTTTTTTACCTTTAATATATATATGTATGTATGTATGTATGTATGTATGTATCTGTGTTTGTGTGTGTATATATAAAATAAAGGTAAAC